CTTCCAAGTTCATTCTGATACCAAAGCCAGATAAAGACACCACTAAAAAAGAGAACTACAGGGCAATATATGATGAACATAGGTGCAAAAACCCTCCAGAAAATATTAGCAAACTGAAGTCACCAATACATTAAAAAAATCATTCACCACCATCAAGAAGGATTCATTCCTAGGATGGGTGTTTCAATATTCAGAAATAAATGAATGTGATATACCACATCATTAAGAAAAAGGATAAATTCTATGAATGGATAAAGAAGATGTGGTTTATATATACAATGGAATACTACTTGGCAATGGGAAAGAATGAAATCTGGCCATTTGCAGCAACGTGGATGGAACTCAGAAGGTATTATGCTGAGTGAAATAAGTCAGTGAGAGAAGGACAGGTATCATATGTTTTCACTCATATGTGGATCTTGAGAAACTTAACAGAAGACCATGGGGGAAGGGAAGAGGAAAAAATAATTACCAACAGAGAGAGAGGGAGGCATACCATAGGAGACTCTTAAATACAGAGAACAAACTGAATGTAGATGGGGTGGTGTGGAGGAGAGGGGAACATGGGTGATGGGCATTGAGGAGGGCACTTGTTGGGATGAACATTGGGTGTTTTTTGTAAGCGATGAACCACGGGAATCTACCCCAAAAACCAAGATCACACTTTACACACTGTATGTTAGCCAATTTGACAATAAATTATATTTAAAAAAAAGAGAAAGGATAAAAACCATATGATCATTTCAATAGATGCAGAAAAGGCATTTGTCAAATTACAACATCCATTCATGATAAAAACCCTCAACAAAGTAGGGATAGAGGAACATAATAACCTCAATGTAATAAAGACCATGTATCAATAGAGATGTGAGATTGATATCTGGGTCTTTAGTTAAGAGATGATAGGTCTAGATGATGGTGGAGACTCTGAAGTGGAAGTATGTTGCTCCTGTGGGACAAAACTGTACTCACAGCCCATACTTAAGTACTTTCCATATCTATATTTCATTATTTTCTATTTCTAAACAGTAAAAAAAATAAGACTTCTATCATCTCTCTTTGTCCCTACTTCTGACACACAGAAGAAAATTGAACAAGGAATTAAATAGTTTTCTTATTTATACTTGCAACTTGCACGTCCCATTTTCCTGCTAGTTAAGGAGAAAAGAGGGTGTACAAATGACAGAACTGCTTACAGCCATGTGAGGGTTTAAAACTGTATACATGTACACTCTCCTCCTCTAGTGCAAATATGGGGGCTGAGTTAAACACTTGGATCTCAGTGAATTTTTGGAATTTTTTTACTTTTAACCTCATGATACTGATCTTCTTTGTTACACAGAATGTCCTGTGATTTACCAACACAGTAGATACCTTTCTGAGTTTCTTGATTTATATTCTCATATTGGTCAGGATTTCTTTATTGGCCAAGCTTAATCTTTAGATAGATTTTTTTCATTACCTATTCATGGAAAGGTGGAATTTGTAGAACTTTGCCCCAGTTTCTTAGTGCAGTGGTAGAATACAACCTTTCAATTTAGACAGATTTTATTTGGAGCCCAGCTCTATTGCTGACTAGCTCCAAGATAACAGGCAATGCTTTAACCTCTCTGAAGCTGGGTTGCTGCATCTAAAAATTAAGGATGAAATAAGGTTGTCATAGCGTTGTTGCAGGGATTAAATTTTATTATACCTGTGAAGTGCTTAGCACAGTGACTGAAACATACAGGTTCAATAAACTGGTCATTGTTGTTTATGTCGTTAATGTGAACTTTAATGCCTTTTCTAGTGAGCAGTTCAATTCAGTCCCACCAGCACTTTGTAAGAACCTTGTCCTTTACACGGCCCCACATTAGGGGCACATTCAAAGATGCAAAAACCCTACTTAACATCCTTAAAGAATTCTCTCTAAGGTTTAATCACCATTATTTCCTACTTTATGTTTGCATGTGGTACACACCCCCTTCATCCATTCAGGGAAAATATTTTTAAACGTTTTTCCAATCTTCTTTGGATTTGGGGAGATTTTTGGTCTGTGGTGATGGGGCATTCTCATTGTAGAGTTGCCATCTGGAACTCTTTGTTCAGGCCTTGGTCAGGGAAAAAAAAACCCACTAACTTAGGAAAATAACATTTGGGAGGAACTTGGCAACAATAACCCCTTTGTTGCCAGAATCCTTGTTCACAGTGTGGGTGGCTCAGATGGCACTTAATTAAATGCATTTTCCTATAAATTCTCAGCAGTATGCTTATTTTTACTGGTAGCTAATAACTACCCTATCTCTAAGGCAACAAATTTTCACAGCTTGCAGAATAGGGAAATCAGCATGTATGAGTAACATTTTGCTTTTGTTAGTACCCAGCCCTTGTTCCTCATTATTCTCAAGTGACAATAAATTTATCTATTACTTTTTCCCACTTAGTGCTTTGTCATTCAGTACTCTCTTCCTACCTGATAGACCAATATACCTATATAATTTTTAAAAATCTTACTATTTTGAGTGCCAATCATAAGTCATGCACTGTACTCCAACCTTCATATTAATGATCTAGTTTAATCTTCACAACGCTTTGAGGTACGAATTAGTATTCTCATTTAAAAGATCAAGAAAACAAAGCTCAAAGATGTTAAGTGCTTTGCTGTAAGTCATTCAGCTGGAAAGTGATGGATGTGAAGATTTCATCTGAAAGAACTGTTTGATGCCAAAGCCCATGATCTTTCCTTCACACTTCATGACTTAATTAAGAAAAGGTGCTATCTTGTTTTCAGAGAGTCTAAACTTACCTCTCATCAGGCAACGCATTTCTAGAAAATTGTTAAAAACATGTTAATGATAGATGTATAATGCATCTATTCAACTTCACACCTCACCCTTTTCTGTCTAGTGCAGAACATTAGGACCATAATGCAGAAAGAGAGAGGGCAAAGTAAATCCCACTTCCTCAGTTATGGTGTGGTGCCAGGTAAAATATTTACATTTATTTTTCTCATGTTTTTGAATATCAAAAGATTATTTACATAAAAACATGGTTTCTTAGGCACAGCATTTTAAATTTTTTTTTCAACGTTTTTATTTTTTTTGTTTTTGGGACAGAGAGAGACAGAGCATGAACGGGGGAGGGGCAGAGAGAGAGGGAGACACAGAATCAGAAACAGGCTCCAGGCTCTGAGCCATCAGCCCAGAGCCTGACGCGGGGCTCGAACTCACGGACCGCGAGATCGTGACCTGGCTGAAGTTGGACGCTTAACCGACTGCGCCACCCAGGCGCCCCAGGCACAGCATTTTATATATCTGAAGACAAAAGTAAAAGTTGGATGAAATTCATAACTTTCATTGGAGCAAGGAAAAACAGGAGATACATTAGTTGCTTGCCCTTAAAAATATCTATGGTTTCCTATCCTGTCTGTTTCCTTGTAGGTATAGCCTATAGCCAAGTGGGAAGGAGCATATATGTTAGCAGAACAATGTATTGCACCAACGTTTTTCTATATTTGCAGCTTTGCCTACTATGCGACGTGTCAATAGATTTGTCTAAATACCTTTTTGGCCTTCATTATAAAAGGATATTTTTCTAGGTTTAGAGTTTGGGAAAAAATTTCTTTCAGCATTTGAAAAATGCCATTCCATTATCTTTTGGATTCCATTGTTTCTTTTGAAAAGTTAGCTGTTAAGTATAATTGTTGCTCCCTTGAATGTGATGTATCTCCCTCTTTAATACTCCCAGCCTTCATCCCTGGCTTTTTCTTTTTTTTTATTAAAAAAAAATTTTTTTTTTCAACATTTATTTACTTTTGGGACAGAGAGAGACAGAGCATGAACGGGGGAGGGGCAGAGAGAGAGAGGGAGACACAGAATCGGAAACAGGCTCCAGGCTCTGAGCCATCAGCCCAGAGCCTGACGCGGGGCTCGAACTCCTGGACCACGAGATCGTGACCTGGCTGAAGTCGGACGCTTAACCGACTGCGCCACCCAGGCGCCCCCATCCCTGGCTTTTTCAGAGTTCTCTTTGGTTTTGATTGTCAGCATGTTGACTTGTGCTGTTTTCAGCATGATGTAACTCTGATGCATCTAAATGTGTTTTCCCACTTTGTATTTAACCTGTTTCAATTTTGTAGAACTTCTTAATTCTGTGGATTAATGTTTGTACCATTTTGGAAAACTTCTTGGACAATTTCTTTTCAAATATTGCTTCTTATCCTTTCTCTCTCTCTCTCTTCTTGCTCTCTCTTCTCCTGGAACTCTAATTACATATATATTAGACCCTATCACTTTTTTTCTCTCTTTACTTGTCTTTCTACTAACCTGTTTTTTAAATCACTAATTATCTCTACTGTTTTGTTTGGTTCATTGTTGGGTACATTTGTAATTCTTAATTTTAATAATTATTTTTAGCATTTTTAGCATTTTCATTTTTATCAGTTAAAAAAAATACATACTCCCAATCCTTGTCATCTACTCTTTTGACTGTATTAATCATAGTTACTTAAAAATTCTATCTAATAACAACAGTATCTAGATTACCTGTGGGTCTGCTACTTTTATCTATACTTGCTTCCTGATTTCATTCATTTGGTCCTATTTATTAGCAATCCTGATAATCTATGATTGTAGGCTGGATATTGTTTATAAAAATTGTAGATTCTCTGAATTATGTTATCTTTTCTCACAGAGAATTTACTTTTCTTCCAGCAGACAGTTACATAAGGGCAGATGATATTGACCCAATAAAGGATTGAAATGCTTTGTGTCTTTATGTGGGCTAGTCTATTTCTAGTTTTTTTTTATTACTAACAGGGCCTAGCTCTTTAGGTGTTTCTTTCTTGTCTGTTGTGCCATGAGTTTTGGAAAGCTCTGCTAAGTTTTGTGCCCTCTTAGCTGACACCGTCCTATTGGCTTTTTGGACTCGCATTGTACACAGGTTAGGAACTGACAAATATCTCAAGGTGAAATGCAATACAAAGTGTTGTGCTCACTGATCTGTGGTTTCTGTTTCTCTAGATTCTTGGCTTCTCCAGTATTGTTGCCTTGGTAGTTCCTGGACACCAATTTCATCTCCACTGTGCTGTAACAACTGATAAAAGCTCCGAGTCTCTGCTTTCTGCTTGTGCTGGAGTGTTGCTTAAAGATACAACAAATGTGTCAAGGCAAAAGGCAAGGAAAAATGTTGAACTTACCTGTGTTTTCTTTTTCTCTGAGATCCTGGCCCTCAAGTCATGTCTGACTTGGTTGTTGTTTATTATCTTTCAACAATTCATTTTGTATTTTGTCCAGCTTTTATAGTTGTTCTCAAAAGCATGGTTGGATTGATAGAAGCTACCCCATCAGAGCCAGAAATGAACATATTAACAATTTTGAGATAGAAGTTCTATTTTTTTCTTTGGTCTCATTTAACCTACTCAGATAATGAAATCTATGTTAACTAGGTCATAGTACTGAAATTAAAATGAGAAAAACTGGGTTTCATTCCAGAATCAAAAATAAAGTGTTTTGTGATGATGGGTCTTGTTGTCTCAAATCTGTAAAATAGGCGGAGAGTAAGTATAATTACTAAGGCTACTGAAAATATTTAAAGGATATATATATAGAGAGAGATTTTTTTTCTGAAAAAAACTTTACTATTCTTTCTCATTCTAAGATAGTTCAATGTAGGAATTGAGAAATGACTTCTTTTTTTTTAATTTTTTTTTCAACGTTTATTTATTTTTGGGACAGAGAGAGACAGAGCATGAACGGGGGAGGGGCAGAGAGAGAGGGAGACACAGAATCAGAAACAGGCTCCAGGCTCTGAGCCATCAGCCCAGAGCCCGACGCGGGGCTCGAACTCCCGGACCGCGAGATCGCGACCTGGCTGAAGTCGGACACTTAACCGACTGCGCCACCCAGGCACCCCGAGAAATGACTTCTTAATTAAAAATCTTACTATAAAAACAAGCAGCAGCAATCATTCTTGCACTGTGTCAAGACCATGTTCACCATCTATCCACCCAGAAAAGAAAACTGAAAAATGGAATGAGCAAATGTTAATTCAGGGTGAAACTATAGTCAGAGCGCAACTTGTATTAAATTTGTAATATCCTTACAGGTCTTGGTTTGCACAACATTTGAAATAGATTTCAAGATGTTTTCTAATAGGAAAGAGAAATGTATTTATTTATAGAGGTAAGTCTTACCTAGATCATGTGTGATCACTTCAGACACCACAAGAAGTTATGAGTAGATATGTGCCTGTTAATTTGAGCATTGCTAAGCACACAAATAGGCGAGCCATTAATATACACAATCTTGTTCATTTTAGTAAGCCAAAATTGAGTCAAATTTTTTCTAGGTTAACCTAATCTTAAAATAACACTTTCATCTCTTATTAATAGGCTAGTTATTATCTAATGTTTTGCTGTGGGTTCAGGGCTCCAGGAAAAAGCATGCTTTGATTATAGGGTGGTTCAGTTTGTGTTGACTCATTCAGAATGGGGCTGGGCAGAGTTGTGGTCTGTCTTAGGTTTCAGCTGAGATAGGGCTCATCAAATCCTCAGTCCTATTTATATCATGCAGGAGAAGGTACAGAATTCTTATAATTGATTTGGCAAGAAGCATAGTGTGGTTGTGAACAGGGGAGGGAATAAGCCATCTGAAAAATATTTTTTCTTTCTTCTAGTCTCTAAGATATTTTGTCCTATTATTAATCTATGCTCTGCACTACAAGGAAAATCAAGATGTCTGGGAGATTAATTTCAGAGCAGATGTACACCTTCGGACTCCAAGTTCAGTGGCCCTCCATGGCCTCTCCAGGTTTAGGGACTTAATGCCCCTCTCACTTTGACAAGATCTTGTGGACTTTTTCTTGCATTTCAAGAAACAATCAAGGGTACCCAAGTTATTATTATTTTATTTTGAAATTGCATAAGTAAAAAGGAAAGAGCACAGGCAGCCTCAGGCCTCAGGGAAGCAAGGATATTATATAGCATATGAGATCATGTTAGCAGTAGGCGCCTGCAGCTTCCTGTATTAGGACTCAGACAGTATGGTCAGGAGCTCTCCTATATGACTCCACTCCTCTTGATCTCTTAATACTACTAACACACATGTCTCTTTTATTAATGCAGTTTTTAAACAGGTATTTATTGAACACCTACCTATGAGCCAGTGATGGTTCTAAGTACCAGGGATTCACAAGCATAAATACATAACAGATTTGTCTTATTTCTGCATCATGTAGCTGCTTGCTGATATCCCACGCCATTCATGGATTCTATCCACTACCTTCTCTCTTTCAACTGTCTGTGTCCTTCTCTATACATAGCACAAACACTTCAAACCAAAAGATACGGTAGTTCCTGCCAATTGATTATCTGTATTAAGAATTCATGTTGAGCAGAACACTTTTTCCGGGCTCCCTTCTGGACCACCTTTGTGCCAGACACCCATCTTTGGCCCAGTCAATATGGCCAGGGTGGTGAGGTTCCAAATGTAATTGTATAAGAATACTCTCATCAGGGGGCCTTGAATGTGGCAGGTTGCAAGTGTTCTTCAGAAAGGGTCTGTTTACACCATACATACATACATACATACATTGTCCATTGTGGATTAGTAGTGACATTCCAGGCAATACAGAACCAAGCCTGTATTGCTAGATAAACCATTCCACTTGTTTCTCTGAAACTTACAAGCAAATTAAAAACAAACAAACAAACAAACAAACAAAATCGTTCAACTCTTGTTGAAATTCTCTTCTGACAATTACAAGGGTTTAGGGTGCTCATGAGGCTGATGGGAATCTGCTGGCCAACTCTGGCATCCCCATCACCAGGAAAAGGCATATTCCTATAGAAGAGAAGATTGAAAGCCATCTAGACCCCAGCCATGGTATAGAATGCTAGAAGGGTCTTACCATGGGTAATTCTTTGAGGGACACTTAATGAATGACAGGGTGATAGGGACATACTGTACATGCTTAATGGATTCCTTGAGGGTAGGTTGCACAACTGTGGCACTGTTGACATTTTGTGAAAAGTAATTCTTTGTTGTGGGAGTTCAGCAGGTGCCTGCAGCTTCCTATACTTCCTGGGCACTGTAAGGTGTTCAGAAGTACCCCTGGCCTCTACCCACTAAATGCCAGTAACACCTCCCATCCCCAAGTTGTGAAGGCAAAAATGTCTCCACACATTGCTCAATGTCCCTTGGAGGTGCAATTACTTTCAGTTGAGGATCATTGCTTTAGAGGGAAGCAATTTGTGATTGAGAGGCAAGAATTCAGTGCCTTTAAATTGTGTATTAGGGGCGCCTGGGTGGTGCAGTTGGTTAAGCGTCCGACTTCAGCCAGGTCACGATCTCGCGGTCCGTGAGTTCGAGCCCCGCGTCAGGCTCTGGGCTGATGGCTCAGAGCCTGGAGCCTGTTTCCGATTCTGTGTCTCCCTCTCTCTCTGCTCCTCCCCCGTTCATGCTCTGTCTCTCTCTGTCCCCAAAATAAATAAACGTTGAAAAAAAATTTTTTTAATTGTATATTAATGAAATCCAACCCCAGACTTTGCAAATTTGCTACCAAATTATCAGCAATAACAACAACAACAACAACAACAACAACAAAAAGAACAGCTTTAAGCCTCCATCCCAGGTGCAAAGATTTTATACCATGATTCTCAATGTCAGAGCAATTACTTGAGTCTTAAATTTTAGGACAAATATATTTTAACATCTAATGAGTCACTCTTTGGGGGACAATATCTTACTTTTGATTCCCCACTCATTCTTTTATTTTAATTTGCTAGATCTCTTTGGTCAAATCTTGTATTATTGGTTAGTAAACGGTGCACCTGGTGAATTATTAGTGGCATCATTTAAGACCCTGACAATTTTATCTAACATGTTTGGAAGCAGGGCAACCCTGGAGTTTCTTGTTAATGTGATTTCAGGAAAATGTAAACAAATTCAAGGGCACCTGGGTGGCTCAGTCAGTTAAGTGTACAACTCTTGGTTTGAGTTCAGGTCATGATCTCACAGTTGGTGGGATGGAGCCCCACATCCAGCTCTGTGCTGACAGCGGAGCCTGCTTGAGTTTTCTCTCTTCCTCTCTCTCTCTGCCCCTCCTAAGATCATGCTTTCTTTCTCTTTCTCTCTGAGAATAAATAAATAAACTTAGAAAAAAAAGGAAAATGTAAGCAAATTCATACATTTTACTGGCACAAAATTAAAGAAGGAAATCTGCCTGTGTCCACTGAATATAGAGAAATGCTGTCACTACATGGGATCAGGGAAGATCTGAGTTAGAAGCAAACCTTGGGGAAATACATTTTGAATTCCTGATGGGAGAGGAAGCAGGAGGCAGGAGGGAGATGTGGATTTAGTAGGGAACCATGAACTCTGGAGAAGGAGTAGAGGCAGACAGAGCTGCCCTTTCTCTGCAGAGATTTTGGGGCTGTGGCTAGAGGTGGGCAGATGGAGCCTGGAACAGATGTTCCTATAGTCAAGCTTCCCTCTAAGAGATCTAAGGATAGACTAGAGGCTATTTTTGCTGACCATTCCCTCTGAATTCATATAGCAAGATCACTCATGTAACCCCACACCTAGATCCATACAGACCTAAGCAACTTTCGAGTAGGCATATGTCTTGCCCATTATTTTTTTCCCATCCTCAGTGCCTAGCATGGTGCCTGACACAGAGCATGCACTCAATGGATACTTAACTGAATGAAGAGGCTTTAGAACAGGTCCCAGCAGAAGCTGTGGTGACTCCATTCAAAGGACACTAGTAAGATGCCCTGTGCCCTCCCTCTTCTCACCCTCCTTTATCCAGGCACAAAGCCTTTCCTTTATTACCTAGCTCTGGTGATATAGGTAAAGCAATAATGCCTCTGAATGTTTTTAGTATTAGGTGTACTTTATTGAGATGAACCACAATCTTTGATCTCACTAAGATGCTAGAGGAGAGAAGAAGTGATAAGGTTTACATGGGGCTGAAAGAACAGGGCAGATGTCCAGGAATAGGCTGAGGGCAGAGAAACATGAAGAGCCAGGAGACAGAGATTGAAGGTACAACTTGATGCATGTTCCAGTTTGTAATCTGCAGCTTTTGGCCAAAAAATACAACTTGGAAGGAGATACCTGAGAACTGGTCTTGCCACAGTGGTCCATGTTTTATTATTATCTGTATTCTCTGCTAGGGATACCAGAGCTTCTTGTAGCCTCTTTGAAAAGTAATTCTGAACCTCTCTACATTTTAGGCAGTTTGGGGCATCACCTTGTTATTTTCTTTGGATTCTTTTCTAGATTGCTTTCAGATGATCTTGAATGATGGTCTGTTCTTTGGTGGGTCTACTTTTCTGGCAGTCAGCTCCAAGAGATGGCTGTTTTGGGCGGCATTTGTTTGATTAACGATGACTTGGACCTTGTTGTTCTTTACTGTCACTGTCTCAAAGGCTTTAATCAAAGGCTATTTGGAAATAATACTAGCTAATTAGCTGTTTATGATGCAACAAGAGTGACTCTCTCTTAGTGTCTTAAAC